TGTAGTTTTACAAGTTCTAAAAGCCTTCTCTGCCAAAGAGTGCTGGTTCCTCACCAAACTACAAATTCCAGGATTCTGTAACATTCTATATTGTAGATGTATCCACTGTTTTAACTTCATGGGTTACTGGTAACATAAAAATTAGTTCCTTGCACATCATTATTTTCTTTCTCCCTGAAATAGTGGTAGTATTAAATGTGTACAACTTTTTGAATATTTTGATCCACTGAAGGTAATAACACAATTCTGGCATATGTTTGAATACATTATGTGTCCCTTTATTTGTGTTTTCTTCAACATATAGAGGATAATGTCTAGTATCCTCTATACCGCCTTGAGTCACTTGTGGGCTTAGAAAGGTGTTATTCAAATACAGTAAATAAATAATAAATAAATAGTAGTGATTTCATTGGATATTAGTGCTACTGCCATATCATTTTAAGAATACCTTGTTTTGAACTCACTGAAATAATTTTGTATAGTGAAAAAGCCCATGTTTTATTCTAATCACCATTTTCTGTTTTCATTTCTAAATCTACTCACACTGTTTTTCTACTGACCTGTTTTCCAAATCATATATCTATTAACTACTGATATAGCTGATATTCCTTCCCTTAGTTCTTCCATTGGCATATATTTTTGAAAAGCATTAAAAGATCTGGGTACACCTTTTCTTAAATTTATTTTTGTTGATTAATTTAATTATTTTCAATTCCTTGATGCAAAAGCAATGCAGAAAGTAGAGCAGTATATAAAGTAGGGCAGAAGACATCTTGTTTGAAAGTACTCACCTAATAATACATCAGAGTTTTCTTAGTGCTTAAACTGAAATCTTGTACATACTTGCAAACCTTTAAAACTTGTGGAATCTGACTTCTGAGTTTGCATGCATAACCATTTAAAAAAAAAAGAGTGACCATGCTTATGATGTACAAATATTAGATAGTTCAAGTTCAAGTTCACTTTATTACGGTCAGTGAGAAGAGGAACACAGTCCCGCACATACACATCAGGTCTATTTTACAGAGATTCTGGGGAATTTTTTAGTTTCCAGCAGCAGTTAGTGCTACTAGCTAGAGTTGGAATACATATACCAGTAAAGGAGGTTCTGACTTTGGCAGTAGTGTGACTTAGGTAGTTGGATCCAGTAACTCACATCAGCAATTGAATATTGCAAGTATGAAAATGTACACATTGTGCAAGTAATGAGGATTGAGGTAGAGATTCATAAATAATAAGCATTGAATTAATACTGGTAATACAGCTCGGTTTCTTTAGTATGGGGTTACTCAATAAGCAAGCTTGCATAGCTTGAGATAATTTTAAATCAGGCTGTCATTGGAAACCCAGGAAGGCAGTAGATTCAGCTGGTGATAGATGGCAGCGTTGAATGTTAAACATTTTGAGTTTTAGAAGGTCCTAAGCGAAGAAAGAAGGGTTCACTTATGTTACATGTGTCGAACTCAAGGCCCGTGAACCAAATCCAAACCGCCATGTCATTTTAAGTCACCCTCCAATTGCTGGATTGTAACTCCTGTATTTTTTAACATTAGTCATCATGACTAGAGCTGATGAGAGTTGTGATAGAGAACCGTCTGGGAGGCTATAGATGGTTTAGTCAGGACAGGGGTTGAATTTAGAGATTTATTTATCGTGTCATCAGCAACCATACCATTGTGTTACATTTCTAACAGAACAAAACAAACAAACAGATTAAAAAACCACGAATTTTGCAAACTTGGTAATTGATTAAATATCCTTTGACCAGTATCTGGCCACTTGGAGTGCCTCTGGTGTTGCTGCAAGAAGGTCCTCCCTTGTGCATGTGGCAGGGCTCAGGGTGCATTGCAGCAGGTGGTCAGTGGTTTGCTCTTCCCCACACTCGCATGTCGTGGATTCAACTTTGTAGCCCTATTTCTTAAGATTGGCTCTGCATCTCGTGGTGCCAGAGCGCAGTCTGTTCAGCACCTTCCAAGTCGCCCAGTCTTCTGTGTGCCCAGGAGGGAGTAACTCATCTGGTATCACCCACGGATTGAGGTTCTGGGTTTGAGCCTGCCACTTTTGGACTCTCGCTTGCTGAGGTGTTCCAGCGAGTGTCTCTGTAGATCTAAGAAAACTATTTCTTGATTTAAGTCGTTGACATGCTGGCTGATACCCAAACAAGGGATGCGCTGGAGATGTCACTGCCTTGGTCCTTTCACTATTGGCTGGTACTTCCTGGCGGATATCAGGTGGTGCAATACTGGCTAAGCAGTGTAATTTCTCCAGTGGTGTAGGGTGCAGACACCCTGTGATAATGCGGCATGTCTCATTCAGAGCCACATCCACTGTTTTAATGTGGTGAGATGTGTTCCACACTGGGCATGCGTACTCAGCAGCAGAGTAGCATAGCGCAAGGGCAGATGTCTTCACTGTGTCTGGTTGTGATCCCCAGGTTGACTTCAAAATGCCATTTTAACATTTCCCCACCTCAGAGCTACAAGTGCTGTTGGGTTGCAATTCCAGTATCCCAGTCTGCATGGATGTATAATAATAAAAAGTGATGCGAGTTGTTGTTCAGTAACATCTGGGGACCCAAATTGGGTAAAAACAAAAGAGCACCGACCACTATGTTAAAAAAAAAAGTATAGTTGGCCCTATGTTTTCACAGATTCTCCATCCATGGATTCAATAGCCCTTTGAAGGCTAATGTTGCTCTCGGTGAAAATGAATTTAACATGCCTAACCTAAGCCATGTACATGAATACAAGAAGTTTTGGGGTCAGGTAGAGGGAGTTGCTGCTTCCTATTCAACATTATAGTAGTCTTTTAGATTTTGTGATAACTATTTAATGTATCCAAAGTATTGCCCCTAAATTTGGTATACGGTAAAGCTTCTGGTGTACATTTTATAATTCATATTTTCTTAAAAATTTGGAATGACAGTGTTTGTAAAAATGAAGGCAAGTTCCCATGCAGTCACTAAAGATTTCAGTAGGGTCTTTCACTCTATTGTCCATCTGTTCTCCGACAACAAAACCATTGTTCAGACAGGTTTTTGGTTTTTAGGCTGGTTTGTTGCTGTGGTAAGTTTGAGTTTGGTGATGGTGTTCATTCCTTGGTTCTTTAATTGAAATGTTTTAAATTCATGTGCTTTTTATCTTTTTGTTAATGTTATTTTTTTGATCAGCTGATTTGTGTTCTGTTTTAAATGAAAAGGTGGGGTGTAGAATTAATACATATTTCTTCTACCTCTAGTTTTCTGTAGATTCCCTACCACCACTATCACCACCAGAGCTACAAAAGGAGATAAAAGCAGTACTTGCCAATAAAGGACCTGGAGGGATAGTCAGCTCGGAACTGAAGGAAAAAATAAAAAACGTATGTCTTCTTATAGCTTGATTTCATCTTTTAAGACAAGCTGATCCTGTAGTTTGGCGTTTGAAGACCCATGAAACTCATATTCTTTCTCTTCCTGATGCTGCTTTCCTCTCCACCTTTCTCTCTGGTGTGAGTTAAACAATGCTTTGCCAGTTCATCTCAGTTGATAAACTCCGGTTTACATTTACCCTACTAACTACTACTAGAAATTAAGGAATAATGCCTGAAGGAGTTCAACATATAGTACATTATGATCCCTGTACCTGATTTTACTTTCCCATATCTGTCAGAATGCATCCTCTATAGGAATTTTCTAGCTCCCCATGTGATTCCATGGTATTCTCTTGCCATGGGTTACTATAGCATTTCAGTGAAGGACCTAGTAAGTTCCAAGAGAGGATACTTCTCTAGGATTTTCCTTTTCCTCCAATGAGACTCTCTGGTATCTTCTGACAAAAGTCATTTGTTTTAATATGATATGTGGTTTTCTGTTTCCACTGTAATTTATGAAATGTTTCATCCACAGATATGAGGGTTGCATTGAAGTGAAGTTTTAAATAAATGTAGCAAAGCAATTTTTTTCCTTAAATGTTTGTTTTAAATTTAGATTGTAGCACAGCACCCAGAAGGCTTGCTTGTTTCCAAATTACCTCAGGAATTTGAGGTGAGTACTATTTTCTTAGCTAATGACATTTACACAAACTTGTCTTTACATTGTCATTGTTACCTTCACTGTGCCATTCTGTCTGTATTATTGTTGATACTGTTTAAGGAGCAGGAAGGGAACATATAGATCAGCGTGGTTTGTGTATCCTCTCATGTCTGGGGAGTCCTTACAGGGAGTCCACGAAAGTTTGGAGAAATAATGCAAGATTTTATAGTGAATATAGAAGGAAAATAAAAGTTGTTAATTGATCTTAAAGAGTTGGAGTCTCAGTTCATTCAAACTGTGTTGATATTTAGTGCTTGCTGCTTCTACATGTGGTGAAAACATGCAAGTGAATGACACCGAATGGCTGAGAAAAAGCAAGTGACATTTCTTCCTACCATGGATACGGCCATAAGTCACTTCCGTAGCTGCACTGGTCTTTAATGTTTTCTGCATTGTGTCAATCCATTCTCAGAAGGTCTGTGCTTTCAGAATTCTGTGTATTGTCCAACAAGGCCATGAAACTCAACATTGCAAAGACATTTTAATTTTAAATACAAAGAACATGCCACAAAGACCATCATTTTATTCAAAAGCAAGGAGCAGGGATTTTGAGAAAGTAAGAAAACTTGAAAAATACTGGTTGTTCCAATGAAAATGTATGGAATGCCTTATTTGAAGCATCTTAACTAATAACAAACATCAGAAACCATGCACAATGACCAAAGAACTCAAATTATCTTTTTCAAAAGTCATGGTGTCTGCATTGATCATTGAGAAGACTACCATGGATTTTTCTTTAATAGCATTTCCAAATGACAGTTAAGATGCAAATTGACAGTTTTGCCACCCAGTATTAAGAAACAGTAATTAGAATGTGCACATCCCTCTACCTTGCTCTGCAGTTGGACAAAATTACAAACATAGCCAAGAGACTGTACTGTCTCTTGTCATAACATGGCTTGGTTGAAATGCATTGCGTTTAGTGCAGAAGGGTCACGAGCAATGTCTGGAAAAGTTACTAGAATAATAATAGAATAATAACTAAGGAAATCATACCATTAGTGACTTGATTCATAGGGGAGCTCTAGTTGCTAAGTAAATACCAGAAAATAACGAGAGGTCCTTTTCATCGGCAGCCCCAAGACTGGAATGACCTGTCAGAAGAGCTCCCAACAGCTAAATGAGCTGTCAGAATTTAAAACATACTTGAATACCTATCTCTTCCAGCAGTCATACCCAGTCAGTTTTAACTATGACTTTTAAATCATGTCCTATGTTTCATGTGTTTCAACTTCTGTCTCAGATATTTTAAGATGCTTTAATATGTGCTTTTATGGTTTCATTTAAATTGTATGTTTCATCTATGTGATTTCATAGATGTATTAGCTATGTTGTGCTCTGCCTTGAGCTGAAAGGAGAGGTGGATAATAAATAACAAATTATTATTATTCACAAGTCATATCAAAGTCCATAATTTGGCCCCAAAACCCGTCCTTGTCCTATACATAAGGCCAACTTATGAATCTAATGTTTATGATTTCATAGCATTGAGCCAGTACAGTTAAAGTGGAGTTTTTCTTTCAATTCCTGGAAGCTTTGGTGTTCTAACACTTTTGTTATTAAAGAAGCATCAACTGTAATGTGCACCTTTGTTGGCCAAATTATAAAGCGTGCGGTTTTTGCAGCTGCTCATTAAATTCACCAGCAAATACTTTTTGGGGGTTCAGGGTTTTGAAAATTGAGGTATGCATTAGATTTGATGGCATATTAGACTTGATATATATGACATATGTTATTTTGGAGGGCAAATAATACCAAGGTTGGTACTGACACATTAATTAATTGAGACAAAACACTATAAAACCCTGTAATTTGTATCCTGTCATTCAAATGGTTGCCAGTTAATTTCTGGGCAAAGTACAGAGTATTGGTTTTGACTTGTTTTGTGTTTCACACCATCCTAAGTGGACTAGGCTCAGTCCCACTTGAGTCAAAGTATTCATTCCACTCCTGCAGATAAGGAGGGTAAAAAGATTGATGCTATTGGAAGGTCTACTCTGGTGCTGTGTTGTTGGCTTGCATCTCAACTCATGAAGCCTGCATGGTAAATTACTAGATACACCTGTGGTACTCTATTGCTCTTTACTTTGACCGTCTGGACAACAAAGTCAAAACCATGCTCTCCACATTCCATCAAGACTGGGGCTCTATTCCTGGTGCATCACTAGGTCCAGCTTTTGAAGAACACAGCTGACACTGCTGGTAAAATCCTCATAGTTGTGATTTGCTGCCAAGCTTGCCTTTGCTCACCCAGCCTCTCATTTTCTGCCAGGATGATCATTGAAGACCTTCATTTCAGTGCCGCCGGTTTCTTTAACAAATCCATAGATTTGAAATTAAAAGAACAACTGGGAAATGAGAACGTTAGCCAGGAAATATGGCTTCAGCCCTCAACCTTATGCTGCCTTTTGGAACTGGTGGCATGACCCTGAGAACTTGGTTTCTTCCTCAGGTTCCTCTACTTCCCTCCCAGGGTCCAGCTTCCCTTTCAGATCCAGTTTGACTAGTCCAAACTGCTTGGAGTCTGAACAGAGACCATATCTGAGGTTGCAGTACTCCTAGAAAATAATTTCCACATCTCACAGGGTATCCAAAGTGAACAAATGATATGGAAAGCCTTCTGTCGATGATGTTAAAGAAATACATTAATCATTTCCTTCCAGTCTGCAAGAATTGAGCTTGACATGATACTGAACACCCTCAGGTGTGAGCTGTATCCTCACTTAAATTTCTTCTCATCCTCATGTTAAAAAGGAGGGAGCATGGCTAACTGCCATTATAAATGAATGCATTAACTTGGAGCTCTGCTTACTGTTAAAGCTAACCCTGTACAAGCACAAGTGTAAAGAATAATATCCATTTAAAATGTGTACATATTATCTGGGAATGAAAAGGACAGTGGAGTACCTCCATGAATGCCAATCTCTCAAGTTTATTTCTTTTGAAAGATTGCAAGTGGGCTGGCATCAGCCAGGAGTTCAAGATGGTGCACAGAAATAATGAATGCAACTGAGAATAAATCTTCATGATGAAAACTAGCATCAAACAATCCATCACATATGGCCATGAAAAATGAAACAAAGCTTGCAGTCACAGAAGTGATTTCCCTCTGGATAAAGACATTTCAGCCTGGCCATCTAAGATAGATTCCAGTACAATAGCTCGCAAATAGAGCACTGAACATAATAAAACAAACAAGCAAACAACAGTCTCAGGAATGGAAAAATCAGCTGTACAAGATAAGCCTACAGAACTTGAAAGTTGCAGCTATAGATCTGAGTTATGCTTGAGGAAAGCCCTGGAGTTGACAGAGCTAAATTACAGCCACAGAATTAGGATGCTGTGCAGCATGCTTCTCATACAGGAAGAGAAAGTGAGAACTTCCAGATTTGCTTATTCCTGATAACCTGGAGGCCATGACGTTCAGCCCTAAATACTGATAGTGATAAGCTATGGCTAGGATGCTATGGCATGTGCCTACATGCTATTAATACTGTAAAGTTTATTCAATATTTGTTTAAGAGTAATCCATAAAAGCAATAGATGAGATTGCATTCTATCATAGATAATTGTTTGTTTACTCACATGAAAGTCCAAATGAACATGATGCCTATATGACTTAATATGAGATTTAAATTCAGTTCTCTTGACAGTAGAACATCTAGAAATTGCAAAGCATTGGAAACTCACAGTTGTGGTTTTCTGGTCCCCCTGGATAAAATGAGTGCAGTCCATCATTCTTTTGGAAAAACAAACCTATCAGATAATGGTAAACAAATAGAGACTAAGCCTTTGACAACAAATACGGTTCCATTTGGTGTCTGTTCATTGTATACACAAGATTTGAAACTTTGTCATTTGAATCTCTGGAATAACACAAACTTTGGGATTTATCCATCTTAACTACTTCTCAGTTGGAAATTAGATATAAATAATAGATCTCAAGAGTGCCTTCTTTCCTTCCCCTCTGGTTTTGCCTTTGTTTCTCACCTGGAACTTCCTCAAGCTGCTTACCACCACCGCCTCACCTCAGATCCTCCCTCATAGACTTTTTTTTTTTTATCTTCAAGTCTTTTTTCTTAGAGCTATTCATTTCTACCAGACAGGTGTCATTACTCTGGACTTCATTTGTACATTGTTGGACCTTTTGAAAGGAACTCATTTATTCTTGCTTCGGATCTATTTTTTCTGCCCAAGGCCAATTGTATCCTCCACCATTTATAGTCCATCTTTTTGCTTTTCTTCTGTCTTTGTCAATAGGCATTGTAAATTCGACAGGCTCATTACTAAAAACTTTGCTTTAGGTTAGGTATTGTGCCCCCCACTGTAAGCCGCCCTGAGTCCCCCCCCAGGGTGAGAAGGGCGGGGTATAAGTAAATGAAATAAATAAATAAATAAATAGGAGGTTGCTGCAGCAGGACCCCCCCCCCTTCCCAATTGTCACCACTCCTCCTTGAACTTGTGTACCTTGATATATCTAACTTAATCCTGTAAGTTTCAGTTGTCACATACAGAGAATGATACTTTAGGTATTTATTGTGAAAGTCCATCACTATGGAAGAACCAGACATCCACAGATGCACTTCTAGTGACATATTCCTTCCTTTTTTTGGGATGCTATTCATCTTCATTTGTACAACTTTCACTGTCTCTGCCCTACTGTGACTCAGCTATGGTACAGAACTGGGGGATAAAGCCAGGGGAGGGGGCATTGAGTCCTCTTTCCTATCACATGACCCTTGCCTGAGTGTCAACAGGATATAATCTAATTCTTGATGCCTTCTTTTTCAACATAGAAGAATGTACGCAGTATGCCAGTTTTATCAACGTTCAAAAACATTCCCTTTTTGGAGAGCTTAATAACAAAAGTATCTAATATTTTATCCTCGTGTAAAGCTATTTAGCTGATTTCATCTCCTTATATGAACCTGGCCAGGCTCTGAGATCCTCAGGAGAGGCCCTTCTCTTGGTCCCACTCCCCATCACAAGCTCTGTTGGTGGAAATGAGAGAGTGGTCTTTCCTTCTCAGTGGCTGGCCCTCAACTCCAGAGCTTCCTATCCATGGAAGTCAGAATGTTCCCTTCCTTGCTGTAGTTTTGGTGGAAGGATAAATGTTTTTTATTCAGGCGAGTTTTTAAGAGCAAGCCAAGGGGTGCTGTGTTTTATGTATTTTAACAGATTTGTTTAATGGTTTTATTGCTTTTAACTAAGCATTGTAACTTATGTGTTTGTATGTTTTTTTCCATTTTCAATTGTATTACATTGTCTTTACCGTTAGCTGCTTTGGGAATCTTTAGAGAGATAAAGCGGCTTAGAAATTATTAATATTTATATTATTACTGCTGACCTCCATTTGCTGCCCACTCAGGCATGGGGTGCCAGTTATTTTAAGCTGTTCTACTCTAGATGACCATTTCCCTGTGCTCTGTTTTTTGTGCTGTTGCCAGCTGTTACTGTCCTACCTTGACTCCCTCCCTCAAGACTCCACCATTGGTATCCTTTGCCTACCTGTCTATCCAGAATACCCTCCCTACATTAAGGGGCTGGAACATTTTCACTGAGAAAATACGCCACCCTGACTGAGCCGTTCTTTATATGGACTTTCAGAGTCGATAGGCCAGACAGAAGTGGGGGCGAGGGAAGAAGTAGCAGGAGAAATGGGGTGATACAGCAGCCATATTTCTCCTCCTCCAGATAGTGAATGTGCTCAGTCTGTTACTGCACTATTAGTATAGCAGTGGAAAGCCAAACCAAGGGGAAAATGCTGTATGTGCCTTTAACTTTATTTTCTTTCACCTAGGCACATTTTAAAGAAGCATTGCCAGTAAAAAAGCTGGGTTTCTTAAACCTTATGGAGCTAATCGGTGCACTTAGTGATGTTCTCCATATTGAATGCAAAGAAGGGGAACAAGACTGGCTCATCTTCAGTGTTGATTCACAGTCATTAAAAGATGGTATGTGGGGATACGACAAGTTCTTGCAGGAAGAGCAAGTGGATTGATAAAGATAACTACTATATAAACTGAGGACAGGCTTTAAGGGCAAAAACGTGTTTTGATTTAATTATTTATTGTGTCAGGAGCAAACCGAACAGTTGCGTTGCAGTTTTTAACAAACAAACAAAGAGACAAAATATGAAGTTTGCAAGCTTGGTAGTTGATTAAATGTCCTTTGACCAGTAGCTGGCCACTTGGAGGGCCTCTAATGTTGCTGCAAGAAGGTCCTCCATTTTGCATGTGGCAGGGCTCAGGTTGCATTGCAGCACATGGTCTGTAGTTTGCTCTTCTCCACACTCGCATGTCGTGGATTCCACTTTGTAGCCCCATTTCTTAAGGTTGGCTCTGCATCTCGTGGTGCCAGAGCGCAGTCTGTTCAGCGCCTTCCAAGTCACCCAGTTTTCTGTGTGCCCAGGGGGGAGTCTCTCATTTGGTATCAGCCATTGATTGAGGTTCTGGATTTGAGCCTGCCACTTTTGGACTCTCGCTTGCTGAGGTGTTCCACCGAGTGTCTCTGTAGATCTTAGAAAACTATTTCTTGATTTAAGTCATTGACGTGCTGGCTGATATCCAAACAGGGGATGAGTTGGAGATGTCACTGCCTTGGTCCTTTCACTATTGGCTGGTACTTCCCAGCGGATGTCAGGTGGTGCAATACCGGCTAAACAGTGTAATTTCTCCAGTGGTGTAGGGCGCAGACACCCCGAGATAATGCGGCATGTCTCGTTAAGAGCCACATCCATTGTTTTAGCATGGTGAGATGTGTTCCAACTGGGCATGCATACTCAGCAGCAGAGTAGCATAGTGCAAGGGCAGATGTCTTCACTGTGTCTGGTTATGATCCCCAGGTTGACGTGTTTTGATATGATCTATGCATAATTAAAGAGTCATTCTGTGGAGGGAGGGATATCAATTGTACATCAGTAGGCCAACCACCTCTGATCACTACTACCATTCCCCTATCCATGCATTCAGAAAGTTCAGAAGTGTTGCCAAGGTAGCGAGAGTAAAGGTGGTTGGTCCCAAATCTGGAATAAATTTTAATCCTGATCAGGGCCCTGTGTTGATTTTTTGCTGAAAATTGGTCTATGACAAACTGTTAATTAGCTGTATACCCACAACATTCTGTAATAGATGGGGGGGGGGGGGGGGGGGGGGGTCTGCATAAAATCAGCTAAATCGTATTTTGAAGATCTGACATGTACTATGCATGGCTTGATCCTATAACCCTTTTGTAGTGTTACTATCAACTTAATTTCATGTTAAGTGAAAGTACTGACTTTCAAATATACCTTTTGCATCACTGTTTTCTAATACAAGCATATATTATTTTTACAGATGAAAAACAAAATGTCAAGACTGATCAGTCTGGTTCATTAGTGCACGAGGACACTTCTGATGAACACAGTGTGCCTTGTTGGGATTTTTCTTTTGAGGATACTAAAAGTCCAGTAACTAAGTTCAATGTCGTCACAAAGATGGCGACACCGGTAGGATGCCATTCCAAATAATATTGTGATAAGTAAGATTGAGGAGATAATGTAACCATTTTATTAAGATTTTTTTAATGTGGTGCAGCCAGTTACTTAGCTTTCTCTGTATGTGAGGTTTCTATCCCTTTCTTCCCCCCCCCCCCCCCGCCTTTGTGCATGAAGACCACATGCTGCAGTTTTCCCCTTACAGTTCATGTACTTCTAAGGATTCTGTGTATGGTGATTTCTTAGCTTTACTCCATTTGGTACTAACTTTTCAAGCCAATTATTCTACCAAAACCAGACTTGTAGAACATTTCAGTCAGTATGGGCTGGTGGCCCCCATTTCAGTGGAATGGAGACTTTTAAAAAGATACCCACAGTGCTGAATCCTATCATGAAAATAGCTGTGACACCTTAGATAACTTTTTTTTAAAGTTCACACTAAATCCACTAGTGGATTCATGACTCACGTGACTTGGAAGCCACTAGCTACCAGTTAGTTATACTCCAGAAGTGCTTGATCCCCTTCCTGTTAAGCCAGTCATGGGCAAACTTTTTTGCCCTGGGGCCGCCTAGAGGGAGTGTGGGTAGGACTAGAAGAGGCAGGGTTGTGGGCCAGAAGAGGCGGGGTCGGGGTGGAAGGGCAGCATTGGGGCCTCGGAGGGTCTGGGGCCAGGAGAGGGAAGGAACAGGTCTGTCTCCAGGGAGCACATTTGGCAACGGTGTGTTTCTCTCCCCAGCTCTTCTCTGGGGCCAGAAGAGGGAGACAAGCACACTGCTGTCGAGTGCTCTCCTCGAGCCTACTCTCAGTCTGTGGACGTGGCTGGCCAGTGTGTCCGCATACTGAATTGGAGGTTGAAGCAGATAGGAACTGGGACAAAGAGCCCAAAGGGCTGCGTCCGGCATGTGGGCCTGGGTTTGCCTATGCCTGTGTTAAACTGTTTTTTTTTAGCAGTTTCCTCTAAAGAAGTATTAAACTTGGTGACCATTATGGTGTTCATAGGGGAATTTATGCAGTTCTCTAAATACTGTAGGACTGCAACTCCAAGGGGTCTTAGTCCATGTTGAGGAATGCTGTGAGTTGTGATTTATGATTCCTACCTCCATGGTGTTACTTGCCAATATAGTTAAAGATACTATTTTGCCATTTGTATATTGTCACCTTTTTATACTGGGGCACCTCGCGTGGATGGGTCTTGGAGATACTGCAGTGGCTCCAGTCCTTCCTGGAGGGCCGTTCCCTGAAGGTATTGCTGGGGGACTACTGCTCAGCCCCACAGCCATTATCCTGGGGAGTCCCGCAGGGCTCAGTATTGTTCCCCATGTTGTTTAACATCTACATGAAACCGTTGGGTGAGATCATCTGGAGTTTTGGAGTCCGATGCCATTTGTACGCAGATGACGTCCAACTCTGTCACTCGTTTCCACCAGATGCTAAGGAGGATGTCGAAGTTCTGAACCGGTGCCTGGCTGCTGTGATGATCTGGATGAGGGCAAGCAAATTGAAGTTGAATCCAGACAAGACAGAGGTCCTCCTAGTCGGTCGCAAGGCCGAACAGGGTATAGGGTTACAGCCTGTGCTGGATGGGGTTACACTCCCCTTGAAGGCACAGGTTCGCAGCTTGGGAGTTCTCCTGGACTCATCACAGCCTGGAATCTCAGGTTGTAGCGGTGGCTAGGGGGACTTTTGCACAATTAAAACTTGTGCACCAGTTGTGCCCGTACCTTGGGAAGTCCAACTTGGCCACGGTGGTCCATGTTCTCGTCACATCTAGTTTAGATTACTACAACGCCATCTACGTGGGGTTGCCTTTGAAGACTGCTCAGAAGTTTCAAATAATCCAGCAAGAGGCAGCAAGGTTAATAACTGGAGCGGCGTACAGGGAGCACACAACTCCCATATTACGGCAGCTCCACTGGCTGCCAGTTTGCTACCGGGAACAATTCAAAGTGCTGGCTTTGGCCTATAAAACCCTTAACGGCCCCGGCCCAATTCACCTGTCTGAACACATCTCCCCCTTTGAACCACCGCGGAGATTAATATCTTCTGGGGAGGCCCTGCTCTCGGTCCTGCCACCATTACAGGCACGTTTGGCGGGAACGAGACACAGGGCCCTCTCAGTGATTGCCCCTCAGCTATGGAACTCCCTTCCTAATGAGATCAGGTCGGCCCCCTCCCTCTTGTCCTTTAGAAGGATGATAAAAACGTGGCTGTGGGACTGAGCCTTTGGGATTGTGCAGTGTGTCAGCAATAGGACCCCTTAGTATGCCAAACAAATTCGATATGGTTGTTGAGACAGTTTTAACTAGAGGATTTTAACGTCAAGATAAGTGATTTTAATGCTTTTGTATGTGTATAGTCTAGTATGTTTCGGCATTGAATATTTGCCATTTATATGTTGTGCTCCGCCCTGAGTCCCCCTTGGGTTGAGAAGGACAGAATATAAATGCTTGAAATAATAATAATAATAATAATAATAATAATAATAATAATAATAATAATAATGATGATGATGATGACTTTTTCAGCCTTCTTTATAGTCTTTTAATTTTATTTCACGCAGTTCTCCCTGTTCACGAAATTTACATAACTGTATATTTGAAATTATTGGATGTTTGGAGAATCTGGGAGGGGAGGAATATCTTTTTAAAAAAAATTATGTCTTCATGACATCGCCTTTCCTCCTCTTATAAATCTAAGCAACTGAAGTAGATGGGATAGGGAGAAGTCCTAATGTTTCAACAAATACGTGTAATGGTGGAAGTCTTTCCTGAGATTTCACTTACCCATTTTGACAGAATTAGGGACAGATGAAGGTGTGGTGGTTTGTGTCTTGTGTGGCACTGTATAATCCTTTTATTGCTCAGAAGAACATGTGTATTCGGTGCTGTGTTAGTTGTGTTAGAATGGATTAATCCCAAAGTTGCAGTGCTGGAAATAAATAAATTGGTCTTCTGTCACTAATATTTAATAACCATGGTAGTACATTGTGGATCCTGCATAAATCAGCAGTTTTGTTATTTTCCCCTTATAGTACTTCGATATGGAGATTCCTGGCATTATGCAGGAGATTGTGGAAAATGAAATTCCACCTGATGCTGCCCAAGACAGAAGTCTCTTTAGCCTTCCTGAGCTTGATAATGGCACTTTGATGGGAGTATTTGTGGAATATATTGTGTCGCCTTCACAATTCTATGTCCGAATCTACAGTGCAGAAACATCTGATAAACTAGAAGACATGATGATTGAGATGAGGTGAGGAATACTTAGTCATATCGGGCAGTGGCGATCCAGAGTTTGCACATGTATTTTATAGTCTTGTAAGGAGACGAAGAATGTGATTGGTTTTTGTGTTTATATTTTTGTGATATGTTCATGTTTGTTCAAAATTGTAGATTATAAGATTGCCATGTATTCGATAATATAGATAATGGACTAAAACAAAAGGAATTAAAGGTGAAAAATGGGAAGTCATGTTCAGGTTGGCTGAAAAATCAATACTAATAATGAGATGAAATCTTGTGGAATTCTACATAAGACTCACAAAGCCTGCATCCATTATCTTGGTTTTGGAGTCATGTTCATTCCAACCCTGAAAATTACCTTTTTATTTCTTCAGCAGAATGAAGATAGGATAAGGGAAGAAACTGGGATAAGGGAATAGGGGATTGAGAACAAAATTGATGTAGCAGTTCTCAAATAAACGCAATGCCCCGACTGATTTGGGTTTCTTTTTTTATTTTTGGATGTGCCTTAAGTCATTGGTTTGATTGTTGTTATGACTGAGATTTTGATTGTAGCATGGCAAGCACAAGATATGAATAGAGGGTGAGGTAGATAAAGTTGATTGATGATTACAAACACCAGGTACTACAGGCCCAGTTGGTAGTTTGTTTCCCAAACAAACAAAGAAGGAAATAAGGAAATGCAATGCAGATAAACCAGAAGTGGAGACACACAGAAAGGGGAACACTAATGTTAGCTAAGGTTTTTAGCTTTATTTTGTTTTCCCCAAGAAAAATAAATTTAAAAAAAGAAGAATAAAAATAGATTTAAAAAGCAAACCCTAGTGTCTCTGTCTTTCCTTGTTCCCACCCCTGCTGGCTGCGTGGCTAACAGTAGCAGACCCACAGGCAATACTACTGGCCCAGTTAATAAATAAAAATAAAGTAAAAAATAAAATAAAATAAAAACATTTTAAAATAAATGGGGTTTTATTTATAAATGGGGCTTCATTTATGTTAAGCCCCATTTATAGTTTCCAAAACCCACAGGCAGTAGGTTTTTTTAGCTTTATTTTGTTTTCCCCAAGAAAAATAAAAAATAAATATAAAATATAAAATAAAATAAAAACAAAGAATAAAAATAGATTTAAAATGTAAACTCTAGTGTCTCTGTCTTTCCCTGTTCCCACCCTTGCTGGCTGTGTGGCCCAGTTAATAAATAAAAAATAAAATAAAAGCAGAGCCGCAGCAGACCCCCTCCTCTCCCCTTCGTGTCCCGTCTCACTGAAGCCACGAGGCACGCACCGCCCCTTTTAAAGGGCAATGGCTGCCCTGCAGAAACCCTGCCCCTCCACACATGGTGTCTCCTCATTCGCTGGACACAGTGTGGACCCACCCAAGCATTCCAGCATGCAAATACCTGTTGACTCATTTACAATCCACTTCCTGAAGTCGTAAGAAAGCTGGCGACCACGGCTTCGAAAGGGCAAATACACTTCCGGTTTGCTAAAGCACATCGATGTTGCTTCAAAAGGTAATTTTTTCCAAAATAATGATTTAAGAAGATAACGACTGTACCTACCCATGCCTGCTATTTAGAGACATGTTGGAATTCTGTTTTTCAGAAGTTGTTATTCATCTAAAAGTGTAATTGATCGTTACATCATATCTGAAGCTTTGATCCGTCCTGGCCAACTTTGTTGTGTAAGGAATAGGAAAGGCAAGTGGTGGTACCGAGCTATCATTCATCGAATGATTGACGACCAGCAAGTGGAAGCATTTTATCCAGACTTTGGAAATATGGATATAGTACAGAAATCTTCCCTAAGATTTCTCAAGTGAGTAAGTTGGATGTTACCTTTCCATTAATGACTAGTCATATATAACGACATAACATATAACGTCATATAACATATAATCCCAGCCAGTTTACCAGCTGTTAGAATTTTTGAAAGCCAAAACATCTCGGTACCCACAGGTTGAGAACACTGGGATAAGAGTTATTTATGGTGTATTGCAAGGGAGAGGTAATGTCAAGAATCATTTTAGCTTATTTTTGGAACATCAAATGTTCAAAGGTTTGTTTATTTCCCTGTCTCTCTATGAGTTCTCCCCTACAAATTGTTCTGCCCCTTTATCTCACCCTGAGTTTTTAAATTATTTTATGTACATGCAGCCCGCCCTCTGTCATTATGTTTGGTCTCTATGTTCTGTGTATATTGTTTATATGCTTTGAAGTTTTATACTTTAATGTTATGTTGTTGATTTTATTTCAATTTGAACTTTTTGTATTGTAATTCGTAGTTTGGGCTTGGCCGTATGTAACCCGCTCTGAGTCCTCGTTGGGGGAAGATGGTGGCGGGGTATAAATAAAGTTTGTTATTATTATTATTATTATTATTATTATTATTATTATTATTATTGTTATTATTTATTAAATGGATCAACATTTTTTGTCCAACATAGAACATCTGCATTCAGTCCAAGGTTACTGAGGTTTCAGGTATGAATCAGCCAATTTTGTGTTTCATATTGCAGGGACTGCTATGCAAAGCTTCCTGCTCAAGCTATCCCTTGTTCCTTAGCCTGGGTGAAACCCACTAAGGTATGTATATTACTCCTTTTGTAGTGTTTGTTTTTATTATCTCACATATTGCTGGTAAAACAAACAACTAGGTTATGCTAAACAGATATATTTCCTACGTTGATTGCAATGGATGTCCATTCTAAATATTCATAAATATATAATAGATGTTGTTAGATTTAGCAATGCCCAAGGATATTAATCTTTGGAAACGTATGTGTTTACAGATGCCTATTTAGAGCTGGCATCTGTAAACACTCAATTTTCAACAAATGAAATAATATTTCCTACTGGATAAAAGGCTGAGTTAGTGTTTAAGATGATAATGTTCCTCTATGTGTTAATTATCAAGTAGACTGCAAAGAAATGCAGCAATAAAGATTTTTTTTTTATCAAAGTGTAATATCTCACCATATGTTGTTGTTAATTACCATCAAGCCAACTTTGATTTATGGCAACTATATGAATGACAGATCTCTAAGCATTAATAAAAGCAAGGGACCTATATCGAGACATATCCATCTTCTCTGTTCAGCTAATTTCCAGAAGAGGAGCACACCTTGGCCTTCCTGCTTTCAGCCATTGCCTCTTTGACATCATTCTTGGTTGCAATGGGTGTAGCTCCCCCAGCCCTCTGGTTGCTGAGCTCATTCCCCTCTCCCTTACAGATAGCATGAGATATTTTGCTAACCAAATGTCGAGACTGGCTGGTGCATTCAAATTGTAGGTGAAGTAAATTGCTATCCCTGTTGAGGATCTTGTCTTCAAGGATGTTCTAATCATGCTCTATCCTCCATTCCAAGAGGCATAGTACTAACTTCTAACTTCAACATCAAGAACTTTTTCCATGCGTATGGCGGTAGTGGTGGTTTGTTTTCTCTAGAAGGGCTTCCTGCTTCCTTCCCATGATTGGCTCATGGTAACACAGTGAAGAACACAGCTGTTGCAAAATATAAATTATATTCATTGTTTTCTCGGCGATCTTGAACTCATAGTCAATGAGGCAAAGTTATAGCTTCTACCTATTCAAAAAATAAACTTCATAGGAGTGACCTTGATTCTAACTACCAGACAGCCACCTTCAGGAGGATCAGTTCAGAAGGTTAGGGTTTGCAGTCACCATGGCCATGCAACTCAAATGACTTTAGGCTTGGGACATTCAAGGTCTTCTTTGATACATGGTGTCCACGATTTCAATGACCCTGTTCATCTGTTTCTGGATATAGCCACTCTTGTCTTTGCTTCTCAACTTTTTAAAGACCTTATCAAGACCATAAAAACGAATGGCTCATGATCCCAAGACCAGTCATAGGCTCACTTCATTGGTGGACAGTACAATACCCCATATTTATTATTTATTTATTTATTTGGTTTACTTTTACCCTGCCCTTCTCACCCCGAAGGGGACTCAGGGCGGCTTACACATCCAAGGCACAATTCGATGCCCGTAACATACAACAGCAATAAAACAGAATAACGCAAATTAGCAAACAACAACAATACATTACATCTATACCCGCTAAAACCAATAAAATTTCATACAAACCGATACAAACCAATTACTCCTTATTGCCGGTCAATGTTCGCTATCTCATAGTTCAGAGTTTCCTTCCACATTTATCAGTCGGTCCTATTTGTCTGGTTGTCCTTCCTAGTTAGCAGATTGCCCGAAGGCCTGGTCCCACAACCACGTCTTTACCTTCCTCCTGAAGGACGGGAGTGATGTCGATGCCCTGATATCCACTGGGAGTGAGTTCCACAGGTAAGGGGCCACCACTGAGAAGGCCCTGCTCCTCGTCCCCACCAGCCTCGCTTGGGAAAGCGGTGGAGTCGAGAGCAGGGCCCCCTCAGATGCCATATGTGTTGGCGTACCATTCAGTCAGCCCAACCTGTTGATAATGATAACAGTGGACACTTCCCTTGAAGGTTGGGGTGTACAGTATAGGGGCATGATGGTTCTGGGGAAGTGGTCTGTGTCAGAGAAGAAGCACCATATCAGTTATCTTGAATTTCTGGCAATGTTCAAAGCCCTAAAGTCTTTCAAACCCCTGGTGTAAGGTCACCCGATACAAATTGTGATATATTACATGAACAGACAGGGGACACTCAGTCTTCCGACCCTTTTTCTTGAATTGTGGGCTTGAAGTATCCTTCAAGGGTTCAGTCCTTTCACTCTTCACTTTCCTTGCAAATTCAACATCTTGGCAGGTGAGTTAAACAGGACCCCCCCCCCCCCCATGCATGTCATGAATGGAGGCATCATCCCAACAAATTTGAGCCATGAATATACCCTTTTGTCTCACCAATCTCATTTTCATGTATTTATGTTCAGTTGGACCAGCCCCTTGCTTTATGCCTTTACTCCACTCCCCATGAGAACCAAGATTTTTCACAAGATTTTCTGGGATCAGGTAAGAACAATCCTCTTCACTCCATGGTGTCTCATGCAGACTAGATTTTCCACTCTTCTCTTGATATTCCAACAGCTAAAAGCTTTGATAATGGTCAAACCTTCTTGCACTGCAAAACAGAATGGTTCATTACTCCAGCGTGAACAAATTTCACTGCACAGCATTGCTCCTGACCCCGTTGTCGGTTTCTCCACCTGTATTTCGGATTATTGACGCACTATACAAGTCAGCCACTAAAAATCCCATATCTACAAGTGGCGAGCCTTTCAGGACTTCCTCTCAAGATGAAGTATTCAGTTATTATTATGATTATCTATTTATTTCTATCCCACTTTTTTCCCAATCAGGACTCAAAACGGCAAACAAACATGTAACAAAAACATTACAAAGCATAAAAATAAGCATAATCATCACACCACAAATACATCTAATAAATTATAAAACTGGTGACAACACAATAAATAGATAACACGACAGTTTAAACATTCAATAAGTTTTAAAATCTCATCTGTATTCAACCTGCTTCAGTGCTAACATCTTGATGTTTTTGACTTTCTAGTGAACCTGTCAGAAAATGTACTAGTGTTATCATTTCTTAAGTGTTATGCTGTGGCAAATTTCTCTATTTTTGAACTTCTTATGCGTCAGGCATGTTTCTTACCCACCACTAGGTGTCTCAGTTTACCAGTCTCCCATTTGTGAGATTCACAGAGACCATGAAGAAGAAGGAAAGGTTGCTTACCTGTAAATGTGGTTCTTTGAGTAGTCATCTGTGAATCACACAACTTCACCCATCCCTACTCACAATATCATGCCAATCTTCGTTTCACTGCTGCCATGTGTGGCACTGGAACTTTGACTGTGGCAGCATCTGCCCATTTATACCACTGGGAAAGGTGGGCAGGCCTACCACCACACAAGTACCTCTTGGAACTCTAGAGGATTAATAACACGGCATTCAGAGCAGGATACGGTGTTGAGATTGCTATAGGCACCTTAGTGGATGATCTCCATCTCAACACCGACAGAGGGAGTGTGTCCCTGTTGGTACTTCTAAATCTCTCAGTGGCCTTTGCTAACATTGACCATGGTATCTTTCTGGAAAGCCTGAAGGGCCTGGGAATCGGAGGCACTGTTTTGCAGTGGTTCTTGTCGTACCTCTCTAGCAGGTTCCAGATGATGGTGCTTGGGGATAGCTGCTCTTCAAAAAAGGAGCTGTTATGTGGTATCCCACCAGGTACCATTCTATCCCCAATGCTGTTTAATATTTACATGAAACCTCTGGGAGAAATCATCTGTAGGCATGGGATGAGGTGTTATCAGTATGCTGATGACATCCAAATATATTTCTCCATGCCTTCCAAAACAGCTTCACCTAAAGATAGCGGGTCACCTCTGAATAAATGCCTGGAGAACGTAAGGGGATGGATGAGGAAAGAAATTGAAAATGAATCCAGACAAAACAGAGGTGCTTGCCGTCAAGGGTCCTAATCTGGGGGTGGAGGTATGTAAACCAATTGTGAATGGGATTACCCTTCCTCTGAAAGACACTGTTCTCAGCTTGGGAGGGTTCCTGGATCTGTCCCTCCAAATGTCAGCCCAGGTAGATACAGCGGTCAGGAGTGCTTCCTACCAGCTTTGGCTGATATGCCAGCTGTGCCCCTTCCTAAATTTGGAAGATCTAAAGATGGTAGTGTATGCACTGGTAACCTCAAGGTTGGACTTCTGCAATGCCCTTTACATTGGGCTACCCTTGTACCAAGTTTGGAATCTCCATTTGGTTCAAAATACAGCAGCCAGATTGGTTACAGGAACATCTAGGAGTAAGCACATTACACCTATCCTAATGTCACTCCACTGGCTGCCAGTTTCTGAGCAAAGCACAAGGTGTTGGTTTTGACGTTTAAATCCCTACATGGTTTGGGTCCAGGTTCAGGATTACCTTCTACCATACAACACTGAGGTCCTCTGGGGGGCATCTGCTCCAGCCTTCCAGAGCCCGACAGGCATCCACCACCCAGAGGATCTTTTCATCAGCCTCTTGACTTGAATGACCTGCTGGTAGAGCTTCAATAACTAGATCAGCTGTTGGAATTTAAAAACCATCTAATGACACATCTCTTCTGGCAGGCCTACCCAGACAGTTTTTAACTAAGAATCTTAAACTCATGTCCTTTCTTTGATGTCTGTTTTATGTATTTTAATATGTATTTTATATAAATGCAGTTTTAATGTGGATCTTCTATTGAAATATGTATATTTGTTGAATTTTGCAATGTTCATATTTTTAATTGTGTTGTAACCCACCTCGAGCCACAGGGAGAAGTGGGTAAGAAATAATAATAATAATAATAATAATAATAATAATAATAATAATAATTAATACTGCTGTGTGGATCTTCCCCATCATCTGAAGAAGTAGAGGCTGAGATGTAAGGTAGATAATTTGTTTTTCTGTTTTCCGTGTTTTTTTTTTAAATCCTTTTTTCTCATCAAGGATGACTGGACTCTTAGTGCCTCCCTTGAATTCCAAAGATTGTGTGAACTGAAGCTCCTGGTGGGAGTGGTGGATGAATATATAGATGGAGTCCTTCATCTTTTTCTTTGTGACACCAGCTCTGATGAAGATATCTACTTGCACAACGTACTGAAGTTAGAAGGCCATGCATTCATCTACAGTGAGAACATTCCTTCCAAGGTGAAGGGGGGGGGGGACATTGGAGGGGAGGTGATATGGAATAGGGATTACATTGTCTTATACGTGGGTGGAAGTGAAAATTATTCCATGTATCCTTATGGATAACCAAAGGTTCAAAGCTGACAGTGTGTAAGCAAAGTATTGACCAAAGGGACAGGAATGTCAAAAATGGGGCACGCTGATTGTGCAAGACAGATCATTGCTGAACAATGGATTTGTTGTTTGAAGGTCAAATAAAATATATGTTGTTTAAAAAGGGAAGCAGATTGTCAAATAAATAGATCTATTCACTTAAGTTATCCATGTCTTCTCAAAGACAAGTGAACTCTCAACTCTTGTATACAATTCAAGTCTATATAACTATCTTTTAGAACAATCCACAGTTGTTTCAAGAGCAGAATTTTATTTTAGACTTCATAGACCGCATCTCTGCCTATGAACCCACCAGGACTTTGAGATCTTCCGGGGAGACCCTGCTCTCGATCCCGCCTGCTTCTCAAGCTCGGCTGGCGGGGACGAGAGATAGGGCCTTCTCGGTGGTGGCTCCTCGGCTGTGGAACGCCCTTCCTACGGACATTAGACTAGCACCATCTCTAATGGTATTCCGCAAAAAGGTGAAGACCTGGATGTTTGTGCAGGCGTTTGAGTAATTTAGTGCAATCTGGTAATGGAACATAGGAATGAACAATGGACGACGAACCTGGACTACGCTTGGATGATGAGAAGATTGGGTACGGTTGTTTTTTGTAATAATTGTGCATTGTAATTGCTTATTGGTAATTTATGGATAATGTGTTAAGTCAATTGTTATATGTTGTATGGAACCACTGCTGTTTCTACTGTTTTACTGTTTGTGAACCGCTGTGAGTCGCCTTCGGGCTTGAGATACAGCGGTATATAAGCAAAGTAAATAAATAAATAAATAATAGAAGACATAGTTAAGCAACAATGGTTTACTATTATATCTTGAATTGATAGATCTTTCCTTTGACCATGGTTTGCCTTTGGGACTGTACTGTAATATAGAGATGCTCCATTGGCTGCCGTTCATCTTCCGGTCCCAATTCAAGGTGCAGGTGCTCACCTACAAAGCCCTAAACAGTTTGGGACCCGCCTACCTGCGTGACCGCATCTCCATATATGAACCCACACGTTCCCTTCGATCATCTGGAGAGGCCCTGCTCATGATCCCACCTGCGTCGCAAATGCGTTTGGTGGGGACGAGGGACAGGGCCTTCTGTGTGGTGGCCCCCCCGACTCTGGAACTCTCTCCCCAAGGACATCAGACAAGCCCCAACATTGGCAATCTTTAGGAAGAGCCTGAAGACCTGGCTGTTTCAGTGTGCCTTTCCAGATTAGGAAACTCCCGGCATCATGTCCCAAATGCACTTTATTAGAAACTAGGATTGTCTGCACATTGCACCTACCTCCAAAAACCTCTACATACCTCATGTCAAGTTCAGCACTTTTAAATTTTATCCATTACACTTGGCCCGGCCTTTAGGTTTTTAAATGTGTCATGGTGTCATTGTTTTTAGAGTTTTATTGTTTTGCTTGATGTTATATTTTTTGCTTATGAGTTTTATGGTTATATTTGTATGTTGTTGTTTGTTGGCGGCCTTGGCCATTGTAAGCCGTATCGAGTCTTTTGGGAGATTTTGCGGGGTATAAATAAAGATAATAATAATAATAATCGTATGAAACCACATTCTAATACAGAGCTGCACAACTCAGCAGTAGTAAGGGGCCAAAATTAGAATAGGCTAAACTTAGGGACACTCCTCCCTCCATGCTTAGTCTTGATTGGTTGAACTCATGTGACCAGTTCACCTCTTCCCCTCTCTCTTCCCTTTCCAAACTTTCACATAATAAGGAGGCAGGGCCTGAACCTTCAGCCTTTGCTGCGGTCTACTGCAAAGATTTTATGATGTGTCTTGCAGGAGGCAGCATGCATCCAGAGGAGCCAGTGAGAGTGGCAGTCTCTTGGAGCCACTCGAGATCCTTTGGGGCGTCACATGCTGTCTGCAGGTTGTGTCTAGTACAGATCTCTTATAAGAGGACAGATTGAAAGCAGACAGATTGTATGTTTGGAGATTCAAACTGTCTTGAGAAGTGTTCAAACCGTTTATTTACTTTTAATAGGGCTTCAAAAAAATGAATTTTTCAACTCTGTATTTGAAACCCAGTCCAAAGCAGGAGGCTGATTTGACAGAGAAAGCAGATTCATTTCTTCAGCAGGAATCTCTTGGGGACCTCTCAGACACAACTGATTCAGGGTTCTGCAAGAGTGAAGATGGTTTCCAGGTGGGAAATTTTGAATTTAGTAATTCTCCATCTGTTTTTTAAACAGTTCTTATCCATCTAAACTCTGCTGTGCCAAAAATAGGTACCACTGAAATAATTATTTTAACAAATCTTTAATGTGTTAGCCAAGATCCAAAGAGCTGCTTAGGAAGGAAATTGCTGTGAATTTCTTCCCTTCTACAATATGACAAATATTTGCAACAGAGGGAGGGTTTTCTAGAGTAATTAGCAATGCAGAATGAAGGTTTTCTAATCAACAACCTTCTGTAAAGCTTCCTTGGCAGATTATTAAAATATAGATTTGCATCCTGACATGTTTTTAATTCAAATGGTTGTTTTTGCACTATGTATTGAAAACAAATGTACTTTTTCTAGAAGTTTGATACAATGAATAATTTCTCATTTGAACAGTTGGAGAAAGAGCATAGGTACTTTATGGATTCTAATGGCCCAGGTGACTCCCAAGAAACATGCTCTTTCAAATCATGTGAGAATTTATGCCTAATGCAAAATGAAGAGAAGGAGGTGAGTTCATTATTTACTTATTTTATTTTTATCTCATTTGTCTCTTGACATAGGGACTTGGGGCAGCTTATAGTAAATATGACACGGTGGAAATTAAAACAATCTAATTAGTAATTAAAAAAAAGAATTACAAAACAATGTCTTGTGGCCAAGCAGGATTAATCAGGGGGAGATGAAGCTGTGACTCACTATGATCATACGGGTTGTTTCAAAATGATGGACCCAATTTCAAAGCAGAATATTTCACAGTGGCAATATGTTACACAAACAGTTTCATAAGTGATCAAGTTTTTAAAAACATGTTGATCTAAAAACAAATTTAAAAAATAACTCCACAAATGGAAGACTATCTCATTAGGCGTTATGTTGCAGGATGGCCTTCTAGTGAATGACCGAGGCTAGAGGCTGGCCGTTTCTATGCTAAAAGAGGCATCTACCAGTAATCATTTTTAAACTTGACATCCCATCCTTTCAAGTGTGAGTTTCATTCACTTGAGATTGCAAAGGTATAGCGATTTCAAATTAGGTCCATCATTTTGAAACGTGTTGTATCAATCAGGAAATAATCCAAAGCATGACTTACTGTTGCCAAATTATCCTTCAAGTTGTGAGCAACATATAGTGAGCCTGTTCTTTAAAAGCTACATAGGTCTCCCCTTGAAAAGCATCCGGAAATTACAGTTTGTTCAAAGATCTGCGGCCAGGCTTCTAAGGAGAGCTGACTTCAGGGAGTGTACCACACCTATCCTGAGACAGCTCTATTGGTTGCCTGTCTGTTTCTGGGCTCAATTCAAGGTGTTGGTGATCACTTAAGCCCTATACGGCTTCGGTCCAGCCTATCTGGAGCACTTAGATCTAGTGGGGACACACACATTGCCACGTGAGCTCCTACCAGTATGCATTACAAGAGAAGGATCCTTTTCCGGTTCAGCACCTGCTCTCCCAGAAGAATTAAGAGTGGCACCATCACTACTTAGCTTTTAAAAAGTGGGTCAAGACCTTTCTATTCAAGAAAGCTTCTGATTGAGACATAGTGGGATCCTTGGGTATTTTAAGCCTGTAAATAACTGAGGTGTCTCCGGTGGAGATAGTGACAGATTATAATTTTATTGTTTTAATTGATGTATGTTTTTCCATGCTTTTATTGTTGTTTACAAATTGTAACTGTTGGAATTTGTATGTTTTTATGCTGTAAGCCACCTTGAGTCCACATGCGAAGAAAGGCGGGATACAAATATTCTAAACAAACAAATAAATAAACAAAATGTTCAATAAATTAAGATAAAAGAGCAGCAACAAATGGAGATGGCAATTCCTGCTGTAATCGTCCTCTGGTCCACAGGCCAGAAGAAGTGGCCATGCCTCCTCTTCTGTCACTGGAAAGTACAGTATAGCTGCTTGGTTTGTATTTCTGGGTTGTGAACAGAGTTTTCAAATGGTTTAAATAGTCTTTAAAAATACATATTTAAAACAAGTTCATATTTTGGTCTGTGTAGTTGTTCCTGGTAAGCCTTAAGATAAGTAAATGAAAGTTATATTTTCTTTTGAAATAATGTTATATGGACAGCCCAACCAAAATCTCTTGATACTGTAGTAGAATGATGCAATTTCCCCCCCAAAAAGAACAACACAATTATTGGGTTATATTTCAATATCCATTTTTTAAAAAGGTCTATAAACAAATGGTATTGTTAAGATGTATTACAAAACACTGGTGTATTCTGTGATCAACGATATGAATAATAGTAAATTGTTTTCAATAAATAGTATTTTGTGGGAGAGTGTACAGTCCATGAATTCTATAAAACTAAACATGTTAAGATAAAGGTTTCCTCTTGACATTAAGTTTAGTCGGGGTGGTGTTCATCTCCATTTCTAAGCCGAAGAGCCGCCGTTATCCGTAGATCCCTCCAAGGTCCTGTGGCCAGCATGACTGCATGAAGTGCCGTTACCTTCCTGCTGAAGCGGTGCCTATTGATCTACTCACATTTGTATGTTTTCAAACTGCTAGGTTGGCAGAAGCTGGGCCTAACTGGGAGCTCACCCCGCCCCCCAGATTTGAACCCCCAACCTTTCAGTCCGCAAGTTCAGCAGCTCAGTGGTTTAACCCGCTGCACCACCAGGGGGGCCTTTACATGTTGAATAAAACTATATTTCATCTTGAAATTGACAGCACTGTAGCCTTCCTTTTAATATATTTATAGGATACAGCAAGCTCATACCTAAACTCTGAAATGCCCTATCTGGAACCAGTATATTCATGCAAGGAAGTTTGGGATGAGAATTTGATGCCTTCTTATTACTATGAAGAAAAGAAAAATGGTGATATTGATGATAACTTGTGCTCAGATATTGCAGTATTATCCTGTCAAATGCCAAACTGTGAAGAAATCAAGAATGAGACTCGGCAGAGCCAAGATTTCATGTCTGAGGTAGTGTTGGGGAGAGGGAGATGGGCACGCAGTTAATGATGGTGCAATATTTTCTTAATTTTCTTATCCATTTATTGTTCTTTGTTATCCTTATTGATGTGACTAAAAGCTGTGCTCTATATACAAAGGAAAGTGCACAAATATAAGAGTAGCTCTACAATTGTTTGAATTGTAAATGAGAGAGATTATTTACATCTTGAATATCATTCCAGTTTAGTGTGACGACCTTGTCAAATATTTTCTAAATTTCTTTTTAAAAACAATTTAAGATCTGTTTAGCCCCGATAGAGGGAAATGGGTTTCTGAATAATGGAACTGAGGATCTTGAGAATAAAAAGAGGCACTTAAATATTTGTTTTAGGGCTTTTCTGGAGGGTACAGAACAAGGGGATATATTAAAATTCATGGTTACCTGGATCCAGTGCCAGGATCTGACACTGAAAGCTATGATATCAAAAATGTCCACATGATCTATGCTCAATCCATTAACAAACCATCTGGGAATATATTCCCTTGTTTTCCTTTTTACCTCAAGAAAGCCTCTTCTGTCTTGTCTAAACACAATACTGTGCCAGCTTTGAAACACAGGGACAACACCATATTAATGTTCAACTATCTGAAACACTCAGAGAAGTTTTAAACCTCTGTTATGCCTCACAAGGTTGGACTTTGCTACCACTCACACTTCCCCTTCAAAATTGATTGTAATGAAGGATGGTATCAATATGATGGCTGTTTGCTGTCTGGAATTTCTAGATCTCTTCTTATTGTCTTAAGCTTCCCAGTTTCAAGAAAAACTGAAAAGAAGATCAGAAGATTCCCTCTATTCTCACAATTGTGGCAAATGGTTAAGCAAAAAACAAAAAAGCAAACAAACACACACCTAATGATAAAAAGATCTGTCATACTTCAATGAAAAACAAATCCCTCTAATCTCCAGATTAATTCTCAACCTTTACATTTTCTATGATCTAAATAAATTTAAGAAATTAAAATTATGGGAAGATAAAACAATCTAAAATATATGGGACCTATTCAACAAAGATGAACCAGAAACCAAGGAGGAGTTTATTGGTATATGGATTATGACCTGTTAGGATCATAACCTATTGAATAGCAGAGTTTCGGAAATGTTCCTTTAGTTTATTGAGTAATAGATGATTATTGGGCATGTAAATATCTTGTTTCTCTTCCATGCTCTCAGCAGACAAAGATTCAAGTATTTTATTTATTGTGTCAGGAGCAACCAGACAGCTGTATTACACTTTTAACAAAACAAACAAACAACACACAAAGTTTGCAAGCTTGAGAATTCGTTTCACTCCAGAAGCGACCAGATTCAAGTAGATTTTTTAAAAATAACATGTTTGTTTTACTCACAACTTCATTTATTTAAATATACAAGCGCATTTCTTGTCCGGTTAAACTTTAAAACTTTTCTGTTTGTATCTTTAACTTTAAATACAAATCCCAGGATTCCATAGCATTAAGCCATGGCAGAATAATGTCAAACCGCAATTAATCTCTTCAAAACTATATTGTTCTGTATAGTTTGCTTTCATAACAGTCTATTTTCAAAGGAACCCAAGCCTGAACCGTTTTCTAACTTCTAACATTGGCTTCTATACTCAAACAGACTAAACTAATGTACTCAACTTGACTCAAGATTCAACTGGTTTCTAACTTCCTACACTGACATCTGACTGAAAAACTGACTCAAGCCTCAACTGTCATTCCTCAACTGTCATCCTTTTAATCTGCATTCCAAACAGTCACTGAACCAGTCACATGGTCTGCAGCTCCTCTCACTGCCTCAAGAACATAGAGCTAAGGAAAACTGCAAACCAAAGAAGACATACACTTCAGGAAATAAACAACACATTATAAACAGACAAAATATTAAATAAAGGAGGCTTGAGAAGGTTACCGTCTCCAACATAGTTGGCTCACATTCCTCTGCTTTCACAAGAGAATTAGTTTCACTTGCAGCAGATCACCTCCTTTACATTGTTCCTAATGCAAATGGGAGAGGTCTCTGGTTCCGTCACCCTGTACATGTATATTAACACATATTTACCCAGTAAAGAACAGTCAGCTAAGCTCTGCAAATAGATGGTAAACGTTTCTTTGGGGATGATCATGATGGGAAATCTGATCTGCAGTCAGTGATCACAGAACCTGACTTGCTGAAACTTGGAGTTCACCTCCCTTTAAATCCAAAGAAAATATGTGTAGAATAATACAAAAATCATATCTTAACAGTTGGCAAGGATAACAGAATAAGTACTTCCTTATGTTTTGACAGCACTGTTACGTTTCTACTGAATATATTTCCAGGATACAACAAACTCATGCCTAAACTCTGAGAATTCATACTTGGAACCAGCATATTTATGCAAGGAAATTTGGGATGACATTTTGATACCTTCTGATTACTGTGAGGAAAAGAAAAATGGCAATGTTGATGATAATTTGTGCTCAGATATTGCAGCATTTTCCTGTCAGATGCAAAATAATGAAGAAAGCAAGAATGAGTCTCACTCTAGTCAATATCAGATGTCTGAGGTAGTATTAGTTCTGGTTGAGAGAAGGGAGGTGGGCAAGTGGTTGAGGGACAAGAATGCGATGCAACACTTTCTTTTGTCCTTTAGCCATGATTATTGTATTTGTTAACCTCCTGGGTGTGACTCCTTTCCTGAATGTTCACAGCTGAGCACATTTTGTTGTTTGTCTTGAAGTATACCCTGCTCTTTAAGGATAAAATGTAAATAAAACATAAAAGCATAAAAAAGAAACAAGAACAGAAAACCCAAGAAACAATTCCCAGCAAAATGTCCTCAGAAGCACCTTAATTATTCGTTGGATTGCGCTCCCTCATTTCTTTCAAAATCGTCCTACAAGATATATCCTATCTTTGTTCATGCCCAGCATTTATTTTTTAATCTTAAACTATTACATTCGGCCCGGCCATAGGTTTTTAAATCTTTGTGTTTTATTGTTTATATGTGACTTATATTAACTGTATTTTTTTTTTGTTTATTGCTTTTTTGTTTATTGATGTGTTTCTCGGGCTTTTCCCCATATAAGCCGCTCCAAGTCCCTTGGGGAGATGGTGGCGGGGTATAAATAAAGTTGTTGTTGTTGTTATTATTATTATTATTATTATTATTATTATTATTATTAGATCAGTATGATCATAGTAATAGTCAAATAACAAAAACTAAACCAACAAAGTGCCAGTCAGCAAAAATATCTTTCACAACAGCTGGTGTCAAATTCCTGTTTACGGAGAGCGTATCTATATTGTGAAATTTATGCAGTTTTGTACTAGTTTAAGTGTCATGGCTCAATGCTGAAGAATCCTATGGAATCCAGGGAGTTGTAGTTTAGAAGGTTTTTAGCCTCTGCTGTTGCCTCACCAAACTACAAATCCCAGGATTCCATAGCATTGAGCAGGGTAATGTCAAACTGCAATAATTTTAGGATATAGATGCACCCAGAGACAGGCTTTCACCTAGCATCTGTCAGCATATACAAGTAGTTTCAGGTTTTGGAAGAGGACTTTTCATTGTAGTAGTACCACTGCTAAAAGTACCCTTATAGTAACTTTTATTATGTTTTTATGCTGCTAGGCTATAATCTCCACTGCTGCTTTGAGATCTGTTTGACAGAATAATACAGGGGTAAAGAGAAAAGATCGGAAAAGCCAAACTATTCCAGTCCTCTCTCTTAAACTCAGTCTTTTCTAGTAGTGCATTTCTGCCAAATACATTTACAGTACTCTTGTCCCTACACTCTTATTTTGAAAGTTTTATTTTTAGCTTTTAGTTTGTTTTTCGTTTGTTTGTTTTCTGTTTGTTAAAAATGTGTTAAATCATTTTTGGCAGAGAAAAGACATTTCCAGTGCTGCTGCTGAGAGAAACGAATTGCCTGATTTGGAACCTCTGAACCAAATCTTGGACTCATCTGGAAAAACTGAGGTGAATTCATTTCTACTTTCTTAACTTGCAGTTATCACAGTTAAAGAGGCTTCATAGTTACATAACTCAGGATAGAAATGCATTGAAAGTTTTAGCATGTGATTTTCTTCTCCTTGAAGGTAAATATCTGTACTTTATTGTTTCCAAGTCTAAAACCATATGCAGTCGGATGAAGCTTGAGAAGAGGCTCAATCCTATGGAATCCAGGGTTCCATAGTTTGCTCACATATACTTCTCCCTCAATACTATTGACTGCTTTCCTATGTATATAATCTTATCAGTGGTGCGTTTTGTTTGTTTGTTTGTTAAAAATGCCATACAACTGTTTGGTTTGCTTCTGACATGACAAATAAATAAATAGTGGTGTCACTACAGTCAGTGTCACCACCATAGGCCTCAGACCATACTACAGTATTGTAGCTAAAACACCAAAAGTAATTTGACAAAATCAAGTTTTAGAAGCTCAGCACAACAAAAATGAAAGTGTGCATTTGTAGCACGTGCAGACGAAACCATATGATTTGATATACTGAAGAATAATGACAGCTCTGATCAGAGTGCACACACAACCTTTTCCCCTTAGTGTTTTATTTATTTATTTACTTTCTTACTTGCCTACAGTATTTATATTCCGCCCTTCTCACCCCAAAGGGTAGTCAGGACAGATCACAGAACATACATATGCGGCAAACATTCAATACCATTTTATACACAACTAGACAGACAATTATACATAGATAAAAGGTATATGTATCAGCTTTCCCATCATTCAACATCTTGGAAGCTGTTGTGCTCAGTTCTGGCCATGGGGGGTGCTGTCGCTCCATCTCCCTGCCGAAGAGCTTGTTCATTATGGGTGCCTCAGAATATGGAAGTTATACAGAAGTGGTACCTCCTCTCATTGCCTTCAGATATGACTTTGGGCTTGATCACATTCAGTGAGAAAAAACTTCGCATAATCACTGTTACCAGCATTTCATGCACATTTACTTGCGATCTTGTCAATGATTGTATTGCTAAGTTTGAAATCGACTATGGAAATTTCTATTATTTGCCATAAGTAGAAAATATTCTCTTTTTGGTCGGTGGCAGTAGCAGGAGAAATTCAGTTCACTCTATTAGAGAAACTTTCTATTGAGCTCCTTCTGGGTAAGAAAGTAAAAATTGTATCCTAAGCTAGAAGTGTCCTCTTTTCAGCTCATTGTGAGTCTACTTGTCCAACACACAATAAAAGCCATAATCTCCCAAGAATGGAAAAAGAGCAGATAGCAAACTTCACATTCTGCTCAAATTCAAGTTTACAGTAAGAAAGGAGGTTTGAAGTTAGCTGCTTACAAGCGACAAACTATCTCTTGAAGGAACTAGCTTACCATAGCTATAACTTCTACTAAAATATTGGTTGGGATAGCTAAAGTATATTTTATATTAATAAGAAAGACGGTGCCTGGATACTATCTTCACATACAAATTAATGCTATGTAACTCATAATTTCTTTCTTGTTCACTTGGTACAGACAACAATTCCTGTTGGAGCTACATATAATGCTTTGTTGCAAAACCTGGAAAAATTTGACATTTCAGTTGCCCGTTCTGAGAAATCAGATCTAGGCCAATTTGATGTGACTGTGAACAATTGCACTTCTCAATCTTTTCCATCAACATCTGCCTTAGATTATACATGTGCGCTTATGACAAAACCAGGTAAGTGCATATATTTATATAAATCCTGTGATTTGGATTTAATAACATTAAAGTCTGTAAACCTTAGGAGTGTTTGTACCGGATTCCCCTTAGTTAAGGGTGAAATGTAGTGTTATCCCTTTTAAATAGGATTTGTAACTATGCTGGTAATGCAAAATTGGGTGCAATGTGCTATAGGTGACAGTAATTACCATCTGTATAAGTAGTGACATTTTTAGATGTTTTTTCAAAAGTAAGAGGACCCAAGTTGTGGTAGAACAAAAATGATTATTGGGTGCATCCCTTCTCAAAACCAGAGTTCTAGAAGTGGTATTGATTATAATAATGTGAATCATCAAGATGGTGAGAAACATACTAATTTCTCACCTCTTGTTGACTCACACTTTTATAATTAGTTTCTCATATCTTGTTGACGCACATTTTTATGCCATCCCCTGCCACATGTTGCTGTGGCTCAGTCTGGAGATCTGGAAAATAAAGTAATGAGAAAGTGTTGGCTTCTAATATAGGTAATTTCTCTATGCTTGTGGGTAAACAGTACTTGTTTCTTTGTCGGTGTTGATGTAGAGATTGTCTGGTTTGCCTATTCTGGAACATGCAACATATTATTTTCCTTCTTTAGGGGTCCCTTTCACATCTATGATGTTATATCTGGTATATACATGTGTGTATGTGTGAATATCTATATCTATGGCTGGATGGTTCTTTGGCAGGAGGGCTTTGATTATGTTTTCTTGTCCTGGTGAAGGGGGTTGCACTGGATGGCCTTAAGGCAGCATTTCTCAACCTGGGGGTTGGAACCCGGGGGGGGGGTGTCACAAGGGGGTGTCAGAAGGGTTGCCAAAGACCACCAGAAAATGCAGTATTTTCTGTCGGTTGTGGGGGTTCTGTTTGGCCCAATTCTATTTTTTGGGGGGGTTCAGAATGCTCTTCAATTGTAGATGAACTCTACATCCCAGCAGCTACAACTCTCAAATGTCAAGGTCTATTTCCCCCAAACTCCATCTGTGTTCACATTTGGGCATATGGAGTATTTGTGCCAAGTTTGGTCCAGATCCATCATTGTTTGACTTCACAGTGCTCTCTGGATGTAGGTGAAGTACAACTCCCAAACTCAAGGTCAATGCCCACCAAACCCTTCTAAGTGTTTTCTGTTGGTCATGGGAATCCTGTGTGCCATGTTTGGTTCAATTCCATCATTGGTGGAGTTCAGAATGCTCTGTGATTGTAGGTGAACTATAAATCCCAGCAACTACAACTCCCAAATGACAAAATCATTTTTTTTGAGTGAAGGACATACATTGGGTTGTTAGGTGTCTTGTGTCCAAATTTGGTGTCAATTCGCTCAGTGGTTTTTGAGTTATGTTAATCCCACAAACAAACAATACATTTTTATTTATATAGATACAGTTTCTAGAACTTTGGTTTTGTGAGGGGATAAGCATTTTTGGTATGCTGCAACTTATATCTTCTTACATTTGAAGAAACATCTAATTTATTTAAGACACTTAGAGCAACTCTGCATACTTATGCAGAGAAGTTAATTGTTTTATATATGGGTTATTCTGTACTGCATATATAGATCTGACTTACACTTTCTTGCAGATAGCTATGAGAAGTGTTGCCATTTTTCAGTCCCATGCTGAAAAGGTTTGAGTGGATGGGACCCACATACAAATATGTTCCTCTTCCTTCTGCCCTATTACTGGGGGGTGGGAATATGATTTGTCCCTTCTACAGTTTGTACTATAAAAGTATGAAACAGGCAAAATGTGATTTACCTGTGGTTTCTGAAAACAGAGAACCAAATAAATTGTGTGATTTATATAACCCCTGTTGACTTGTTATTGTACAGGAGAAGCTTCTTCAGAGAAGAAGATAGATGATACTTCCAAGACCCAAGTAGTTTCTTTACGTAAGCCAGGGAGCTACTGTGGTCCTAATGCCTTAATGTTCACTGCAGAACTTCACGGCTCTTCAGCATTCTGTGTCCCTTGCAGCCCTGCAGTAGCCATGGGAGCCTCTGCTCGCTTAGCCACATCTGGTGGCTATTTCTCCCTTAACCTGAGGAACATGAAGACATCAGGTCAAATGGCCTTGGGAAAGTTTCATTGTTCAGCTGCATCATTGGACACAACAGTAAAAAAGCTTTTTTGAGGCTGCAGGAACTGGGTCATAATAATTCAGAGTCTAGTTTCAGTTTAGTCAAACTGCTTTAGTTTTGCTTTATTTTTTTCTCATATTTCTTTTTCTATTGTTATATAGTTGGTAAGACTGTTCTTAATATAATGGTTTCAAAAAAAAAATTGGGGAGTTGTTTCCTTTCCGTGGAGAATTACTTGCACCAAATAATAATTTGTTTGTTAATGTGTTACAGTATGTTCCTACAGGTTTCCTGGATGAATTGATATATGTAAAAATCAACGTGTGTGTGTGTATGTATGTATGTATGTATGTATGTATGTACATATGCTTATTGGTTTATTTCTACCATAAAGGCTCCTACATGGCTTGATGGATCTGGTCCAAACCTGGTATTCAGACCCTTCATTACCCAATAGAAAAAAAATGTTGAGGGCTTGAACTAAAAAAAAAAGCACTCATTTCTGGCCCAGAGCAGAGGGAAATGAAAGGAACGAGGTAGATTGGCAAAGTAAAATTGATGTAACTGGGAAAGAAAGGGAGTGATGCAGATTGGCTAATTCTAGGTGTCATCTGTATGAGGGGAAGGGAGAAAGGAAGGAAGGAAGCAAGGAAGGAAGGCGAAGAAGAAGATAGAAGGAAGGGGGAGGAGGAGAAAGCTCAGAAAGGACAGAAGTAAGAAAAGAAGGGAAAAGTATAAGGGGAGGGGAGGAAAGGACGAATGGAAGGGAGGGAAGAAAAAAGAAGGCAAGAGAAAAGAAGGAAGAGTAGGGAAAGAAAGACAGGGAAGGTGTATGAGAAAGGGAGGAAGAAAAGAAAGACACAAAATGGAATCCTGGGCAATGCTAGCTCTATATATGCTAGTGGTAAATAAGTGTGAACACACACATTGACAACCCTTTTTAATGCAAAACTCTGCATAATAAAAGCGAATGCCCCCAAAACTACATACAAGAGTACATGCAAGTTTCTTAAAAATAATCATTTGTGAAGAAGTTAATGTAAATATTACTCTATGAGGAATATGTATCCACAATACATTAACATTTAATTACATATAACCTTTGATGAACAACATCACAGCACAAGGAGAGAAATACACACTGTACATGACTTCCTTATATACAATTCTATACAATTACACATAGCAATCTCTGATTGCTTCCCAACTTATTAACTTAACTCAGACCCAGGATTACATCATTCACAATCACCTGGACTAGGCAAGAACACATTCCCCAAATGATTCCCTATATACAGTTAATGCATGACTCAGCATCTCCAATAGAAGCCCATTAGCAGTGCATGACTCAGCTATATTACATTACAATACATTGTAAAACCTGACAGATATTTTTAAAAATCAGGCATTCAAAAGCCTATTCATCTACATACAACAAAATGCATAGCCTGCTAGGCACAGACTATTTCCGATCTATCTGGCTTGGTGCTTGCCTGGCACTTGAAAGAGCAATTACTTTTGAATTCACTATTTAGCATTTTGAAAACTTAAGTTTTTACAGGAGGAGGCGGATACCAGATTTAAACCCCAAGGGGAGAATATAGATCTTGGAATGTAGATCTTTCCTAACAAAGTGTATGTAATTCTAATTACTGGAGGAAGGAGGAAATGTTTGTTATGATTGGTGATTTAGATCCTAGAATGATCTGAGCGAAGAAAAAAAATCGTTTTTAGCATTTTGACAATATTTTGGAGTGAAGGGAGATGGAGAGTAAACTGACTGAACATTTCTTGAGAATAAGCAGTGAAAGAATTTGAAAGAATGACTGGTTGTTTCAGAAGTGATAATTATTCAAATTCTGGACATATTAATTAGAAAACAGGAATAAAATCAGGAAGTCAGTAGAGATTAAAGGAGCATCTGAATACTCCGAGCTTCTTCCACCCAGAAAATCTCTTGGTATTTCTTGATCAAAACCTCTCCTTCAGTTTTGAAAGCAGAATTTTCAACACTCTCAATGGCCTCAATTCAATATCTTTTCATAGAATCATAGAGCTGGAAGAGACCTCATGGGCCATCCAGTCCAGCCTCCTGCCAAGTAGCAGGAAAATTGCATTTGAAGCACCCCCGACAGATGGCCATCCAGCCTCTGTTTAAAAGCTTCCAAAGAATGAGCCTCCACCACACTCCGGGGCAGAGAGTTCCACTGCTGAATGGCTCTCACAGTCAGATGGAATCTCCTTTCTTGTAGTTTGAAGAATACAACGCATACTATGTGGACCCAGTCTGCACTGTGCTGCATACTGTCTGCTATTACTATAAAACCCCAAAACCGCTTCACATGGCCGTTTCATGCTTCATGGCAATCTGGCAGGATCAGAGAAGCCTCTGGCTGCCTCCCCTGCTCCCACATATGCTGACATAAAGTAATGTCATCAGCAGTGCAATCTGTAGGTGACCTCTGGGAATCTCAGCACTTCACTGGCCAACACACATTTTGGTGCCTCAGATGTTAGCCCTGTTTCTGGGTATATTTGACCTTCTGATTCCAAAATAGCACCACTTTTCTCCTATCAGCTCTTACTTTTGAGATGCAGAACATGACATCAACCAGAACCATCTGGTTGATGTCATGTTCAAAGATTGGGTAAACGAAGGTCGGATAAGCAAGACTCTCCTTTTAAAAACTGTGATAACAATATCTAAGAACCTAGAGATGATGTGCTTTGTCCAGTACAATTTTCTGAATCAGCACCCCCAAATAACCCTAGGAACAGGCTTAAAAACCAAGATGCCAAGAATTTTTTTGTTGGTCTGTATACTCATTGATGCACCAGATGCTTAAGAATGGAATACAGATAATTAATTAATACAGATATTGCCCAGATGTGGGAAACACATAGCATCTTTCCCCTTCTGAAATCATTTTCTGGTCTGATCAGGCTTGCGGGACATGAAGCAGTTTTGTGGACTTCTTGAGGGAAGATTGGAAGATTCGATTCAACACCCGATCCCATCAGACATCATTAAATATCTTGGTACTGCTGTGCTGTCACACGCTGGGCCTGTGCATCAGACTGTAGACAGGACATAAATTCTGTGTGCCCAATGGGACGCTGGGGCTGCCTCAGATTAAAGGCCTTGAGTTTCTTTAAAACAGAGTCTCTAGATTGCTTAAAGGTTCAACAAAGTTCTTTATTAATGAAAACAAACAGGTACTTTA